CAAATGCATGGACTAGTTTCTCAGCATCACCCCTGGAAAGAATATTTGAAGCTTTAAAGTCACTCATTTTTCATTAATAGTCAGATAACAGCAACTAAAACCATCTCAGTCTAGAAGTACATAGAGAAGAAAAGACCCGATTATCCACAACAATCTCTTTGATCTGAGAAAAAAACTAATCAGCAGAGTCTGATGCAAGCAACAACAGACTAATGCACTGCTGCACGACAACAAAGCAATGACTGTATTTGAGCAGCCTGCTTTAGGATAGAGCAGCCAGACGCAGAGATGGTTAGATAGCAGACTCACCTGGACCTGCAGCCGGGTCTTTTCACTATCAGCACTTCCAAAACATAGTCAATCAGATAACAAAAAGCACAACTTTTTTAGATCAGCAAAACAACATGCTTAACCTAATTTACTTTCACAAACTTGGACTGTGGTGTAATGATTGACAGAGGAAAAAAGGAAGGAAAAAAACTGTTCTTTGTTATGTTTTGAATGTTTATACATTATTTTAATGTCAGGATTTCTCTGATTTATTCTTTGTATTCTGGTCTCTTCAGGCGGCCATCAGCGCTATGGATCTTGAGCAACAATTGTCCCAGTATTCTTTCTTCAACCAGCAGTCAGTGCCCCAGACTCACCAGAACCAGCAGGTGAGGTTCTGCCTAACTCTTTACCTTGATCCCACACGCTCCTCTGGCTAACAAAAACTATTAGACTCAACTTTATTTATCCCTAGCAGGGCTCGATGTTAACCATCGCCCGATCGCCCGGGGCAAGTAGTTTTTATTGTCGGGGATATACAAATTTCACTGAATTTTCCCGCCGGGTAATTGCAATGATCGCAAAAAAAATTATTTATCACTCAAAATTACTTTAAAATCACCGACATTCGCTGAAAACGACCCTCAAGCGTTGCCGGCGCCATTTTTGTTGTTTTGTACACATTCTCGCGTGATTTAAAAAAAAAGACATGTGATTTTCCCCTAGATGGCGTAATTCAGCTTTTGGGCAGAGAATTGTGCAGAGCAGCAGCTGGATGATGAATTTAATCTATACTATAATACACGCTAGATTAAAAATTATCAGTCAGGGATTAGGAAAATAATAATAATAATAATTGTATGCGCACAGTGTAAATATTTCTATCATATGGCAGTCTTCTGTACAGTGATGCAGGTCATACATTAAAAAATGTTATTTAAATTTTTTTCTCTTAGACATTGGAGTGGTGCATTTAAATGTTATAGAGCTAAACATGTTAGATTGGTGAGTAGTGGTAGTGTAAGTTTTTATTTTGTCAAGTTTTTTTTTTATTTTTAACATTACAATTTATATTTTTCCAAACACAAAACAGTTTAAAG